GACACTCTTATGGAAATATGATAATATTTTGTAATTATCATTTAAATCTGACTAATTTTTAAACTGTGTGTCATAAATCAACATCTCAGGAAAATGTTATGGGGTTTCAAATCAAAATATGACTTTCTGTTATGAAACAGGATGTTGATTTCATACGTCCGCATGTTTATTAGCATTTTGGGAGACATAACAAATTAATAGGGAAAGAAAATATGTTTCAATATTCTATGAAATATTATATATTATTATGAAAATCTTGTCAAATATTACTCCCATTATTACACTTCTTTTTTCATTACATGTTGCCCCAAAAACACATTAATATGCAAATTAGATTTAGTTTATAGATACATTGTATATAATTAGAAAACTCGTTAATGGCCATTTTACACACATTTTGCAGAAAGAAAAATGGTATATCAAATCATTCTGTTATAACATAGTTGAGAATCATCTTTATACAAAGTTTGGTAAGAAAAAAACCCCTGAAAACTAAAAATGTATTGGTGATTTAAAAAATCTATTGTTTTTGCCTATGCATGTTCATTCATGTCTTTTTTTTTTTTTTTTTTTTTTTTTTTTTTTTTTTTTTTTTTTTTTTTTTTTTTTTTTTTTTTTTTTTTTTTTTTTTTTTTTTATGTTTTTAAATTTTTTTTATGCTCTAAACAATGTAAAGACATGAAAAAAACTTTTTTTTTAAAAAATCTTTTCTCGGGTCTTAAGAGGTAAAAAAAAAAAAAGATTTACATACACTGAAAATCTTAGATATTTCCTAAATGTCTATTTAACACGTGACGGGAAACATTTTAGAGATGTATTGCAGATGAGCAAATGCTCTAGGAAATGGACACATCAAAAGATGTCTGTATGATGTATGTGTGCTATATCTGTACTAATTACTGAATCAAGTATGGAATATTTCCCATGAGCAGGATGTACCATCTTTGTAAATACACGAATGAACATGAAGGAAAATAGATTATGACTTTCAAGCTATTGAAATTTCTTATCATTTTTATTTGTTTGTTTGTTTATTGCATCATTTACTTACCCTCATGTCTTTTCAAACCTGTATGACTTTCTTTCTTCTGTGGAACATAACTAAGATAACTTGAGATATGCCTCAGTATTTTTTTTTATTTATTTAATTCAATTAATTAATCGATTGATTGATTGATTGATTGATTGATTGATTGATTGATTAATTCGTTCATTCGTTCATTCATTCATTCAATGGAAGTCAATGGTGACAGTTTACCAGCATTCTTCAAAATATCTTCTTTTCTGTTCTGCAAAATAAATAAAGTCATACAGGTTTGTAATGACACGAGGGTGAATAAATGATTGCAGAATTTCTGCCCCAATATTTTGAATTTCTAGGGGCATTCTAACTGCGTTCAATATGCCACATCATACAATGAGTTATTGCCCTGCATCACTTGATGTAATTGTTTAGACTTTAAATATGCATTTTGTTAATAAAGATAATGCCTTTCAGATAATGCCTTAGCAACGTTCATCATGGCTGTTGTTGTTTATTAAACATTATTATTCAATAAATAATATTTTATTTAAAGCAGCAGTCCGTAAGTTTTTCTGGTTAAAAATGATCCGAAATCAATATTTGAGCAAGTACATAACCAGCCAGTGTTCGAAACTATCGCCTTACTTTAGCCCGATTCACAACAGTTAGCTTATAATAATGTTTTCTAATTTGAGTGGTACGGGTAGGTTTTCTCAGGAAATTCGAGCATGGCACTGCGTCATTACGTCACGTCTGTAAACATAAATAAGTTTTCCTGGCTACTAGGCTATCGCATGTGAGGATCAGCCGACTCACAACCCAGGCAAGCTAGATAATTCCGCACCCAGCTGCAATTCCAGGTTTTCAAACAGAGATGGCGACAAAGAGGCAAAACTTACAGACTGCAGCTTTAAATAATAGTAGTATTTAATAATATCATTTTGTATTAAGATGCAGTCTGTGTTTAGTTGCATTGTTATGCCATTAGATGGCAACAAGAGACTGTTTTGATGAGTGAGTCAGCAGTAAAGACTTTTATATTGAAAGAGACTGATTCAGGGTTGTAAACAAAGAAGTTATTTTTACTTTCAACAACCAGTGCCAGCCCGTCCAACAGGCGGTACAGGTGGTCACCTAGGGCCCCGCGGCCACAAGGTTGTCAACTGAATTTCCAGGGGCATGACATCAAAGTAACACAAGAGCTATAGAGAGCAGGGAGCTCTGCATGCTTTCGAATTGCTCTTGCGATACTTTGATGTCACACACTGTTCGATCTGTGCAGCGCCGCTTTAAGCCGAACACACCTTCGTATCTACGGATGATGCACCAAGGCTGTACACTGCGGCATGTCAAATTAAATCCAGAAGAGCTGTGGCAACGTCTCCAAGATGCTTCAAGAAACCTACCTG